GATCGGAGCTTAGATCGTAGTCGGTTTTAATCTTAATATCTGCTGTTTCTCCTTTTTCTAAGAAAATGTCTAGATCAGGTATTTTATTCGTATCAGTAGGCCATAATGAAGCTTCTCCAGTTGATAGTGTCATTACATTCAATTTGTTTGTTGCTTTGAGTAGGTTCTTCTCCATTAATATATGGAGCCTGAATGTAGTAGGAAACAGTAGATGTTTGGCACTGTAGTCTCCGCCGGCTATGAATCTTCTTCCAAGTGTTTTTATAAATGTAACAAATTGATCTTCTGTTATTTAATGTTTCGAAGGGGAATATAACAGCTGTAAGGTTATTTGTCTGCCTGTAATCATTACGGAAGTAGCTTGCATTTCTTCTGTTTTATATTGAGTAAGCTCATTATTTTTTATCGCATTGCGAATGATAACGGCCGTTCCTCCGTGCGCTCAGAGATTACTTTTTCTGTGAAGTGAGTTTCAGATATACGCATGATATCCGTGTCTTGTTCGCTGATAATTGCCATCACCTCTTTGCGAGGCTGGGATATACCATTTGCTTTCCAAAGTATCATTTTTATTTTCCACACCATTTTAATGCATTTTGGATATCAGTGCAGTTATTAAATTAAGGAGGGTTTTTATTTGCTCGGATCGTTGTTTCAAAATGTTTTCGAACCGTGGGTAGGCTTTATTAATGACTTGAGGAAGGAGGAGGACTCTGGGGGAGCAGTTGCTTGATTTCAAACGTAAATATATTAAATTTAGCTTCTTCCTTCATCAGCTGTCGGAGAGCACATGCCCTGTCTGCTTCTCCTAGTTATGTACCTGTGAAGCAGAAAATCGAGTCGTCTCTTTCGTAAGTACTCCATTCAAAGGATTCTCGCTGGTCGCTGTCTCATGTAGCCATTTCCGTACGAGAAAACGAAATGAATATGCGGCATTTGACCGCCATTTCCTCTGCTTTTGACTTTGTTTCTGTTGTTCTGTCTCAGTTATTTTTGTATTATATGGAATTCACGGGGCTCCTGGAAGCGGCCGCTCCGTCCACTTTGTACCTCCGTATACAAGAAAGGTAATGGGAATATTACTTTGCTCATTACGTGATCAATATGGTATTTGTAATGAAGGAACTGGACTGTCATTTATCGTAGGCGGCTTTCTAAGGCACAATACATTAGTTCACACAGATGATATGCAAATATAATTTAAGCATTCCAGTAATTTTGTGAATTTCCATAAGGCTTGGTTTATATTCAGCGTTTCTTGTAACGCCGCTGCATTCTGTTGTTATAACGTCCAACAAAATGAATTTTCATATATTAAATACATTAAAGAAATAGTACCCATAAAACACTTGATGCTATTAAAGTACTCTAGTGCGTGGCAAGTGATGTTTCGACTCGACAGTTTCACCGAAAAAGCAAAGAAACAACACTATGCCCAGCCCCGTTGGCAGACGCGCCCGGGCGAGGCGCGGTGAATTTCGCGCCCGGAAGTAACATTTAAAATTTAAACTCAATTTTCTCGAAGACAATTTTTTTTTTTGGGAGGGGGGGAACTGGATCTGCAATTCTTTACGGAAGTAAACATAGATTGTGGGGCAATTGGAGCTTCTGAACACACTGTATATGTGTATATGTATGTGCATTTTATGAGAGTGAATATATGTTTGTATGGATGGGCTTCGTAAATAGGTGCACATGTGTGTACAGATGCGTAGGCACGTGATTTATCAAATGGGTGATAATTTTGTGTGTCACTAGTCTGTAAGAACGTTTGTGTGCGTACATTTTAAAAATGATTATTATTAGTGTTAACGGTTGGGTTTGCTTACGTCTCTAAAAGCAGTATGTAAGCTTGTATTAAATGTATGTATGTATGTATGTATGTATGTATGTATGTATAACCATCTTTTGATGTAGTAATAGTAGTTGTAGTTTCTCTTATTGTGTTGCTTTTGAAACTATTTTATATTGTAAATCTATAGGGTTGTGTTTTAGTTCTGAACATCGATGTAGGGGCCGCATCGAATCTTCGTTAGCGATGTCGCAACACCAATTCTTCCGTTCGCGAGCCGTGGTCCCCAGCGCTGCGGCTAGGTCAAAGGCCCGTGCGGCACTGCGGGCGGCGAGGCCAAGTCAGGCTGGGGGAGGGGGGATGAGGCGCGTTATCGCAAAGGTGTTGTTATCGCGCGCGCGATCCCGCGCGGAGGCGGGGGCGTCGAGCGGCGTAGCCCGAGGCGCACTCGAGGCGTCTCAGGCGTCGATAAGGCGGCGCCATGGGCGGCTGGTTCTCGCTGTTCGGGCCGGGCGCGGGCCCCGGCCCGGGGCTCGAATCGGGCCCCGGGCCCCCCCTCGCGGTGAGTGCAACGCCCGGCCGGCACCCGCCGGGGGAGGCCGCGTCTTGAGCTATTGTATTCATTCACCTTACATTATATGCACACTATTGAATGATACTCGCTTTCATTTTGAAAACTGACGAATTAGAACTGTGAAAGGATACAATAACATATCTTTTTTGCTTTCTCTCTCTTTCTTGCTTTCTCTCTCGTTCTTGCTTTCTCTCTCTTTCTTGCTTTCTCTCTCTCCTTTCTACCTTTCTTTCTCTCTCTCTCCTTTCTACCTTTCTTTCCCTCTCTCCTTTCTTTCTTTTCCCCTTCTCTCTCTCTCTCTCTCTCTCTCTCTCTCTCTCTCTCTCTCTCTCTCCATGCGTTTGTGTCTAGTTGTGTTATATATTATTGAAGGGTTAGTGGGTTTTTCTGTGGTCCAGGTATAAAGTGTGTGTATGTAAGTGCTTGTGTGTATGTGGGTGTGGGCGATTTTTTGAATGTATCTCTCTAGATCTGTTTCTAGCGTAACGTAATGAAGTGAACAACTGCCCTTACGCAGTCTGATTAGAATCATTACTGAAAACTCTAATGAGCATCTTCACGATTGAAGTTTTTGTTATATTGTAATTTATAAATAAAGCAAATTACACGGTGAAAATGATCTACCAAATTCAATCAAATGGAATCTCGATATGGGTTACTTCTTACTTCTATTGTGACTTGAGTACTATTAAGAGACCCACTGCATATGTAATATTGAACACGAGCAGAAATTGGACTCAAAAATAGATTTAAACTACATATGCTTGCAGCTCTATGAATTAGAGTTCTAAGGGATTGATACTTAACGAGTAAATGAGACGGAAGTTACGGTACCGATTGTGTTTGGTACGCAGATGAAGAGGTTCCATCGGCACAGAATTCAAACCATTTCGGATGATGACTGCTACCCTGTCGAAATGTATGTAGCTCTAACACAAAATAGACATTGTCAGCACATCAGTATCGATGTATTAAATTTATTTATTATATTTGGCATTTAAATATTCGAATTTTTCTCAGCAATGTACGATTTTATCAAGTTTAAAAAAGCAGATGCATGCATGCAATAATCAAACTTGCTACTAGTTTCTTCCTACACAGATATAGCATACGACAGTTCTAGTAGTGCGAACAAATATTTGTATCTTAAGGTTTTGTCTTTTGTTTGTGCGTTCACTGAGCCATAACACGTTGTGTGTTATCGGGTAAAACAACTTCTTTACCTTTGACTACTCTATCTGCGCGAGATCAAGTGAGCGTAAAATACGTACTGTTTCTTTGATCTACCTTCACTTGTCAGTCAGTTATTCCTAACTTGGAGTTGTAATGAGTTCCATAATCTACCTGTAAAGTAAATGTGGAGAATATATTTT